GGTCGCTATTTCGATTTCAATATGTCTGATGAGGAACACATATCGGAATTACTCGACGTGTTTAATGACATCATGAATAAAATTAATGAACTACCTTTACACCCGAAAAATAAAATTCTACTATACAGTCGTTACTTGCTGTCAAAGATATCCTGGGACTTCACTGTTTCTGATATATCTAAGACCTGGATCTGCGAAACGTTAGACAGTATTGCGACAACATATATCCGAAAATGGCTGGAACTTCCCGTCTCTGCAACCCTTAGCAACGTGTTGCTTCCACAAAACAAATTTGGTCTGAATATTATTCTCCCTTCGACAAAATTTATCCAATGTCAAACTGTCTCTCGATCAGTTTTAAAATACTCACCAAACGTAGATATTAACAATCTATGGGCGGTGACGAGCACCAACAAGAACATACAGTATGAAATTTACAAAGACACAAAAGACGTACTTAAGGCAGTTAGAAAAGAAAACGAACAAAGACTTCAAAACCACCTCATTTCGCAAGGTTCTTTCTTTTCCAGTATCATGAATCATTCCACATCCACATTCAACTCTTTATGGTCATCCGTTCAGAGCAAACTTCCGAAAAACATGTTTAACTTCACCATCCGATATATCAATAACACACTTCCAACACGAAAGAACTTATCAAAATGAGGACTATCATCAACATCCGATTGCTCTTTCTGCTCCTCACCTGAAAGGCTGCTCCATGTGATTGCTGGATGTAAGACATATTTAGATGAAGGCCGGTTTACATGGCGACACGATTCTGTTTTAAATTTCCTCGCATCCACTCTTACTGCTGTGAAAAATTCCACACTTTACGCGGACATTCCTGGTTTTATGAATCCATCTGTTGTCACGGGAGATCGTTTACGACCTGACCTTCTGCTGGTGACTGAAAACAGATGTCTATACATCCTCGAGCTTACAGTCGGTTATGAATCCAATCTGCAAGTTAACGCCAATCGTAAGCGTCAAAAGTACCGTGATCTTATCAATGAGCAGGAAGCAGATTATGATAAAGTCAAGTTCGTCAATTTATCCTTGAGTACCCTCGGAGTTTTTGGCCGATCTTCTGAAAATTTCGATGGCATGCTAAGTAGCCTTAAATGTGATGCCAAGTATAGTAAATAGATAAAAAAAGCAAATCGTGAACATGTGCATTCGAACATCATATTATATATTTTGTAAACGAAACAAGGTGTGGGATAACCCAAAATTAATGTTAATATAATCCTTTTCAAAATAATTATTGTACAATAAATATATAGTATCAATTCAAGTAGACATTGATAAACTACCTGTAAAGCGAGGTTTATCATTGTAGTTGTATATATCTTAATAATCAATAAATACAGTTTCCATTATTATTATTATTATTATTATTATTATTATTATTATTATTATTATTATTGTTATTATTATTATTATTATTATTATTATTATTATTATTATTATTATTATTATTATTATTATTATTATTATTATTATTATTATTATTATTATTATAACAAAATGACAATTGTTTTAATATTATCAGTATAGACCAAAACATATGTTTCTTTTATATAATGAATTTTAATCTTAACTTTGTACAATTTTATCGAGCTACTAAACAATTAAATTATTATTATTATTATTATTACTTTTGGGATCAAAAAGTTTGGGACGAAAGCAGTCCAGTATAAACCTACTATAAAAATCTCTGGTCAACAGGTTCCCCCAATTGAGGACGGTGAAAGTTTTATGTATTTAGGTAAACAATTCAATTTTGAAATGGATTGTACTGAAACCAAAATTGAGATCCTTGATGAAATCCAACACTACTTAAAGAAAATTGATCTTATCCCAATAAATCCATTTTCCAAAATTCGCGTGGTTCAAAGTTATGTCTACTCAAAGTTCTTCTGGCGTTTTTCAATCTACCCGCTTACTATAAGCTGGATACATTCTAATCTGGACTCTATAATTTCCAAATATATCCGGAAATGGCTCCAGATCCCAATCAGCGGTAACATTAGTCATCTAAAGCTTCCTAAATTTCAACTGGGAATTGATTTCTGTTCCCCCTCTGACATATATAATCAATGTAAACTGACAGTGCGCAGAATCTTGAGGACTTCTGTCAACTCCGATATTCAACAGCTATATACCAAAACGTCATCAAAAAACATCGTCACTGATGATATTGAACGGGCGGCTGCTGGTATCTCTGAACAATATATGTTAAGAAACGCTGCAAAAAAGATTCTGGTAAAGAAAAACCTTAACGAAATTTGGTCAAACTTTGTAGAACTAAATGAACAATCCGTGATCATTACCTGCTTAACTGATACTTGCTATAAGAAGATGATTAAAGTATGGCACGAAATTGTCACTCGAATTAATGCCCAGCAATATAGTATGCTTTGCTAGGAGAGCGTTAATTTTAAGTTTAGGAAATAATTCTAACCTAAAGCGCTGGAACATTCGTGACTCCGCCAACTGTGAGCTGTGCAACAAGTTACAAACCCAGCTACACGTTTTTTCCAACTGCAAGGTAGCCTTAGAACAACAACGCTATACTTGGCGGCATGACTCGATTCTGATGACTATTATTCATCACTTAAAAGTCGCAGTTGGTGCAGATCTTCGACTGTTTGCTGACTGTCCTAATTCAGGTACGACCTGTACTTCAACTTTATTTCGAACGCTAAGACCTGATATAGTGGTGGATTTTAAGTGTTCTGTATATGTGGTTGAATTAACTGTTCCCTACGAAACCAATTGTACGAAGGCTAAACGTCGCAAGAAAGAAAGATACAGACATCTAAGATCTGGGCTGATCACGGCGTGTTATGCGTTTGAAGTTATTACACTTGAAGTAACCACTCTAGGGTTTGTGTCGAAAGATATTGACAGATTTCGTAGATTATTACGAACACTTGAAATGAACGATGAACGTATTATTAAAAAATGTATGGAGGTAGCTCTGAGAGCAACATTCTACATTTACTGCAGAAGAAACAAGCCGTGGAATAATCCAGACTTACTGAATTTTTATTAGCTACTATTGATACAAAGTGTAGAGAATGGACCTATCTGTCTAACATAGTGAACTGTTTCTCTACTTTCCTGATTTAATTGAAAGTCTAATTATGTGATATATTTGTATAAATTATCATGTTATTAATAAAGATTTCTGTTGTTTAAAAAAAATTATTATTATTATTATTATTATTATTATTATTATCATTATTATTATTATTATTATTATTATTGTTATTATTATTATTAATTATTATTTATTATTTAATTACATCGAGCAGAGCCGTGTTCAGACGTGCTTTGTACATGTCATAGTTTTATCGCTGGTTTTGTATTTGAATCACAGTGTTGGAAATTGACGTTATTTTGCTTTAGACATTAGTGTATTTTGAAGGACAACAATGGATATTTAGAGGGGATTGCTGAACACGTGCGAGAAAACAGGGGGGAGTGAACAATGTTGTGACTGTGACTTGGGATTTTAAAACAGCGAGTTGAGAGTATAGTTTATTGCTATTAAATTATAAAATACATTTCGTGTTCCGTACTTATTTGGAGGCACAATTTCGGAATACGTGGCACCTACCGACGAAGATATATTTGTGATATTTTGGGATTTATTTCGACGCTAGCGAGCAATTTATTATGGCGAACGAGGAAGCGAAACTCGATACAAAACTCACTCAGTTGAGATTGACGGCGCAAAGAACCTGGAAAATACTTGATGCTGGAAAACGAGAAACGATCGAACGGCATTTAAAGGCACTCCAAACAACAATAAGCGAAACAGATCAGTGCAAACGTACGGTTGAGGCTGAAAAAATCGTAAGAAAGAAGACCTAGCAGAAATTAGCGACTGGAATACGGAAATCGAAGCGAAGATAGGTGAAGCTGAAGACGAAGTAAATCGACTTCAACAATGGCTCGAGAGCAAAAAGATGGAAGAAGAAAACTACGCTCGAGAGGAACAACTTAAATTCGAAGTGAAATTGGGAGAAACAAAGCTTCAAATGCAAGCCAAAATTCAGGATGCAAACCCGGGGGGGCATAACACCTCGAAAACTGAGACGGGGGAAGGCATGAAAGGTATGTCAGTGAGATTACCTAAAATTAATATTGTGCAATTTGATGGGTCATACATGGATTGGCCAAGATTTTGGGGCCAATTCACAGAGACGGTGGATAAGTCAAATATAGCCGCTATCAACAAATTTACATATCCTGTGCGGGTTTCTGGGACCAAAAGTTAAAAAAAAATTGCTGTGATTACAACAATGTCTCGCACAATGTCAATATAATTTGCACTAAAACGATCGTTCCAGATTACAATGCTTACAATTGTAGGACCAAAGTTGGCTGTACTCTGGACAAAATCTACGTATTAGCGACCGACATTAACGTTGTCTTGTAAGTCGGCAAGTCCAACGCGTTTTTTGCGTGATGAATTCGCGCTCGCCATTATCATTAATACAAGCCCCTGCCGTGAAACAAAATATTATGAGATACAAATACACAATGACTGATAAACCATTTACAACTAGTAAGTAGTGTATTCAAATAATATGCGAGGAACAGAGAGAAAAATGTGTACAGAAGTACAATATGATAAGTACATATTTTCGTTTATATATTGAGAGAATATTCGACAGGAGTCTGAGTCTTTATATGAAAGGATATTATATTTCAACAACAACATTTATTGCGTCCTCAAGTTTTTAAGAAAATATGACACACTTAAACAACACCACCCCAAAAAGTTTGAACCATCCATATGCTGAGTACTTATTTGTATTTCAAATATTTTTCTGTGAGTGGGAAACTAAAGAGGAATCACAAATCGATGTTGAATAATTGAGACATAAAATCCCGCAATAGCGTTATATATCAAAGTTCAAAGGTCGCCGCATATCGCATAATATGATATATTATACTATTAGGCCGTGGGATGAGCATCCAAAAGATGCAATTCCGTTGCACCCCTCGTGGAACTACGTAATTTTCACATGAATAAATAGATAAAAACTTACTTTATCAGAATCCGTTGCTCCCCAAGTAAAACAGGTGCACAATTGGGAGAAAAATCCCGCCAAAGTTTGATATTTTCCCGCTTCGAAATATACGAACCGCCATTTTAATTTATGTCAATTGTACAAGGGAACAGAAGACTTATTTTATGCCTATCAACTTTTGCCTGTTGAACACCAGATCAATAAATAGGAAAGAACTTTTTATTAATGATTATGTGTCTGAGAACGATATTGATATTCTAGCAGTGACTGAGACATGGTTACGTGAGGATGATAATGAATTTTCTACTGCAGAAATCTGCCCAACGGGGTATCACTTTTATCACATTACAAGGAAAAATGCACGAGGTGGAGGAGTTGGTCTCTTACTGAAGAAATATATTAAAGTCAAAAAACAATTTCAGAGAAAATTCTCTTCTTTTGAATATATTGATGTCACCTTGAACTGCCGTAATACCTGCACCAGAATGATTGTCATTTATAGACCACCCCCATCGAAGACTAATAAATTAAGCAGCTCAATATTTTTTGAAGAATTCTGCATATTTGTGGAACAGTTGATCATATTACCTGGCAATATGTTAATGGCAGGAGACTTTAATTTTCATATAGACAACATTGGAGATTCAGATACTATTAAATTCAACAAGATACTGGAATCGTTTAATTTACAACAGCACGTCAATGGGCCAACCCACAAGAAAGGCCACACCTTAGACTTGATTATAACAAGGAATGAAGATAAATTAGTGACTGGTATCAGAATACATGATCCAGTAATATCAGATCATCTTGCCATACATTGTACATTACAGTTAGAGAAACCACCATTAGAACAAGCTGAAATTTATTATCGAAAATTAAACAATGTAAACATGGATAGTTTCAATGAAGATCTAAAAGTACTAGATTTAAATGACGATTATGATCTTTCAGTCCTTATTGATAAATATGAAAATACGTTGAAAGAAACATTACAGCAGCATGCTCCACAAAAACGACGAATTATAACTCTTCGTCCTTTATCACCATGGTACAATGAGGAGATTGGTCAAGAAAAAAGAAATCGCAGGAAACTAGAGCGCCGCTGGCGCGCATCTGGACTATATATTGACAGACAGTTATATGTCAAACAATGTGAGACAGTGAATGCCATGATAAAGAATGCTAAGACAACATACTACTCATCGGTTATTTCCAGTAATGCACATAATCAGAAAGTGTTATTTAGTACGGTTGATAAATTACTCCATCGAAAGCCAGAAAAGCGCTATCCAACTGCGTCATCAACGACTGAACTTGTGAATAAATTTTCAGATTTCTTCAATAATAAGATTGCTATTATATGGAAAGAACTAGCCATCGATTCTTCCCACTGTAATCAGCGAAATCAAGAGGAACAATATGCACAATGCGTTAAATTCATTAACTTTCAAGAAGTCACGGAACATGAGATTGAAAATGTTATTGATAAAGTTGGTAAAAAATCTTGTGAACTTGATCCAGTGCCCGCAAAAATCTTTCAAGGTTGTCAGAAGACTCTCTTACCTATAATTACTAAGATCAGTAATAAGTCACTTCAGTCAGGTTGTATGCCTGAGATACTAAAAGAAGCCGTGTTGAAACCAAAACTAAAGAAAGATTCGCTGGATTACGAAGAATACACAAATTTCCGACCTATTTCAAATTTAAAATTCCTGTCTAAAGTAATTGAGAAGGTTGCTGCCGGTCAGCTTCTGGAACACTTGGCTAATAACAAATTAGAAGAACCCTTCCAGTCGGCATATAAACGTTTTCATAGTGCAGAAACAACCCTATTAAAAGTACAAAACGACATTCTTGTAGCCATTGATAATCGTAAGTGTGTGGTGTTGCTATTACTAGATATGTCAACAGCATTCGATACTGTTGATCACGAACTTTTACTACAACGAATGTTCAAAAGATTTGGGATAGATGGGCAAGTGTTGAGATGGTTTCAGTCCTATCTTCAGAATAGAACGCAAAGTGTAGTGATTGACGGTGTTAAATCTATCTCTAAAGACTTGCGCTGTGGAGTCCCACAAGGATCAGTTCTCGGCCCTATACTATATTTACTATACACTTCACCCCTTGGTGATATCATCAGAGGTCATGATCTTGATTTTCACTTTTATGCAGATGACTCGCAATTATATCTCGCTTTTGAGTCAACCACTGAAGGAAAAGCGGGAGCACTGGTACAAATCGAAATGTGTGTAAAGGAGATTGATTTGTGGATGGTCAAAATAAATTAAAATTGAATGGGGACAAGACTGAGTTACTTGTAATCAATGCACGAAATCGTTTATGCCCTGC